AATTGTGAGGAGTTCAGATTCTCGTGGGATTCCCAATCTGCTCAATGGTCCTTGTTCTTGTCAATCTATGCTCTCTGCTCCCTTTCTGATTTCATTGTGGAATGCAAAAAGATATTCCCCGGTTATAACTCTTGACCTTTACCTAAGGCCATGTTTACCTCCAGGTCCAATTTCAGAATTTATACTGTGTTTTCTGGCCTTCCACATTACTCCTGTCCTTCCACATTACTCCTGTCCCTCGTACAGTCATACAGCACGGAAACAGACCCAAACATATACTGAACATAATCCCAAACTAAACTAGTCCCACCTGCCTCCTCCTGGCCCATATCCCCCCAAACCCTTCCTATTCGTGTACTTAACTGTGTTTTAAATATTGTAACTTTGCTCGCATTCACCACTTCCTCAGAAGGTTTATTTCACACGTGGTCCACCCTCTGTGTAAAAAATGTGCCCCTAATGTCTTTTCTAAATCTCTCTCTCTTCCACTTAAAAATAAGCACCCTAGTCTTGAAATTCCTCATTCTAGGAAAAAGACACCTACCATTAACCCTGTCGATACCCCTCATGATTTACATTTAGTCAGTGTTTGTGTTTGTTGGTGGCTTTCCCTGCTCTCCCTTTAATGATAGCATGCCTCCATTCTTTGGCCCTTTCTGGCGTGGATGTTACTTTTATGCTGACTTTCAGCAATAGTCCATGAGGATCATTAGCCCTATCTTATCAATCGGTATCACTTTGTCCATACTCATTCAGCCCATATCTGCCGTAATCTGCTCATAATATGTGTGTATGAAGTGTATTATGCCTCCTCACTTTTTAAGACTTGTTCATATTCTGTAAGAGTGTAATCTGTGCCAATTATCCTCAAGGAATGCACGCTGCCAACCATCCAGCTTTGCAAATTTATCAAAGTTGGATCATGCCTCTAATTGATCAACTTACTTAAATTCTGTCCATAAATTTTAATTGGATTTCCAAGCCATTCTCCATGTCCAATTTTGAGGCTGTAGCTCCATGTATAAGTATTATTGATCCTGCTTTTAGTTAGAAGCAATAGTGCCAAGACCTTGGCTTGTTTTTTTTTGTCTTTGCCAAGGATATAACCCTTGTCCATTTCTCTCCTTCATTCTTCCATCAACCATAAGGTCCAGCTTCACAAAACACTGGTGGGGAATCATATCCAGACATGTTTGGAGAACAATAACTGATTCCAAATGCAAAGTAACTTAAATTACCAACCTTTTGTCTGAAGGAAATCTTAGTCTCCAATAGTTAGGCAGCCATCCTGTGCTACCACAGTTAATTGATTCTAACCAGGCCGCTCAAACAGAAATCAAGAGACCCGAACTGGTGTAGTCAATAAACTGTCTGCACAAACAAAGTTCCCCTCTCTCTCTATCCGAGCTGTTCCTCCTGTTAACGCTCTAAACCAGTTGATTACATGGAAAATGGTTTTTATGACATACCTTTGTGGCTATCATATCTGGAGGTGGGACTTGACCCAGTCCTTCTAGCATGGACGTAGTGACACTACCATGCACCACAGAACCCTCGTGTTCCCTGTTTAAGTATCCAGACATCAATTAGCAGCCTTCTCCTGATTCTCAACTTAACCTGAATTACTTGCTATATTAACATAGGACTGTTGTGAAGCAGTGGTAGTGTCTCATCTCTGGACCAGAAGGTCCAGGTTGGAGTCCTGTCTAGCACAGAAGTGTGTCAGAGCATTCCCAAATAGGTTGATTTTCTTTTCAAAAAACCATTATCATTGACCGCTTTCAACATCCACTCCTTCCACACTAAGGCTCAGTGGCAACTGTATGTATCCCACTGCAGCAACCCCTCAGCTTCCAAACCCATGACCTGTGCCACCCAGAAGGTCAAGGGCAGCAGATATAAGGGAATGCCACCACCTACAAGATCCCCTCCAATTAACTCACCATCCTAACGTGGAAGTATATCACGTTCCTTCACAGTTGCAGTGTCATTCAGCCTTTCAGCAGCAGGCCATTTTGCGGTGTATTCATGGATTTTAATGTTGGCTATAATTATGGATATTTAATACTATTGGAATGAAGTGAATATTTGCCAAGTAGAATTTAAGTAGTGGAAGTTTCTTTTTACTTCTCTTCTATTGAGACATCGGAAAGACTGCACTGTAGAAGCTAGATGTGAAGTTCAGTTTTTTTTTTAGAAAACTAGCTAGGTGAGCTTTCCAATCGGATGCAAAATTGGCTTAACGGCAGAAGACAGAGAGTTGGGTGGTAGGTTGTTTTACTGACTGGAGGCCTGTGGCCAGCAGTGTTCCACAGAGATCGGTGCTGGGTCCACTTTCGTTTGCCTTTTTATATTAATGATTTCGATGAGACTGGGTTATAGGGGGATGGGTCTGGGTGGGATGCTCTGAGGGTCGGTGTGGACTTGTTGGACCGATGGGCCTGTTTCCACACTGTAGGGATTCTATGAAAATTCTCCGATATAGAAAGCATGCTTAGTAAGCTTGCAGATGACACCAAGATTGGTGGTATAGTGGACAGTGAAGAAAGTTATCTAAGATTTCAAAGAGTACTTGATCAATTGGGTCAATGGGCTGAGGAGTGGCAGATGGAGTTTAATTTGGATAAATGTGAGGTATTGCATTTTAGTAAAACAAACAAGGGCAGGACTTATACAATTAAAAGTAGGGCCTTGGATACTGTTGTAGAACAGGAGACTTAGGGTTTTTTTTAAATAATTTTTTGAAGTTTGTGTCATATAGATAAGGTGGTTAAGAAGGCTTGTATTCATTGCTCAGACCTTTGAGTATAGGAGTTGGAATGTCATGTTGAGCTTGTACAGGATGTTGGTGAGGCCTGTTCTGGAGTACTGTGTCCAGTTCTGGTTGCCCTGCTATAGGAAGAATATTATTAAGCTGGAGAGGGTTCAGAAGAGATTTACCAGGATGTTGCCGGGAATGGAGGGTTTGAGTTATAAGGAGAGGCTGGATAGGCTGGGACTTTTTTCACTGAAGCGTAGGAGGTTGAGGGGTGACCTTATTGAGGTTTATAAAATCATGAAGCGTCTGGATTAGGTGAATGACAGGTGTCTTTTCTCTAGGGTGGGGGATTCAAGACTAGGGGGCATGTTTTTGATGAGAGGAGAAAGATTTAAAAAAAGACATGGGGGCATTTTTTTTTTTACACAGAGGGTGGTTCATTTTTGGAATGAACTTCCTGAGGAAGTAGTGGATGTAGGTATAGTTAGAATGTTTAAAAGACATTTCAATAAATACATGAATAAGAAATGTTTTGAGGGATATGGGCTGAGGGCAGGCAGGTGGAACCATTTTAGTTTGGGATTACGGTCAGCATGGACTGGTTAGACTGAAGGATCTGTTTCCATGCTGTATGATTCTGTGACACTAAGTGAAGATGTTTTTGAAAGGGAAGGTCCCTTGGGAAGGACCCAGTGTCCGTCAGACACACCCAGGAGAGAGACACATGGGAACATATACAAGGTAAAGCCTCTCCTACGCAGTCCCCAGCCAACACTCCCAGGACAGTTACAGCCCTGGGTTAGATGCAAACTAGAGCTCTCTCTACACCGTCCCCATCACGCATTTGCCAACAGGAAGAATTGTTTGTTTATTCAAGCCAACTCCATATTGCTTTCCTTGACACCGTAGTAACAGGGGAATCCCATTCAGCTCTTTTAAGTTAATGATAAACTCAAAGGCAGTTCTTGTGAATGGTGTTTTTCTTTCTCATTAACAGTAGTTGCAGCAATCCATGGCTTTAATACTCTAATTGAGCCATATCCAAGATTTTGGGGACAGATTCCATTCCTACTCTGTGGAAAGTTGCTACCTCCGAGACCAACTGTGTGAATGCCAGTCACCTGCCTGTCTCTAACCTTTCTTATCATCTGTTTATCCAATTCTCTTTCGAAACATGCGTCTACCTGCCCAAGCTCCGAATCAGGAATGTATTGACTATCTACTGACTTAATGTAATACCATGGTTTATAATGTGTCTGTGAAGCACCCTGGGACATTTCATTTAGTTGATGGCATTATACAGATCGGAGGCATTGTTTTCCCTTGTATCATCATTGCCTGTTTTGTGCTGTGCTTCCTAATCTCTCGACCAATGGGAACAGTTCCTCCCCATTAACTCTACCCTCACTCCTCATGATTTTGAACATCTCAGTTAAATCTCTCAACCTTCCCTTCTCCAAGGAAAACAGCCCCATCTTCACCAATCCATCCACATCACTGGTTCCAGGGATGAGGAACTTCATTCTTGTGAAATGTTTATACATTCCTTCAAATCCTTACTGGAGTGCAGTGCCCTGAACTGGCCTGAAATATTCAGCAGAGGCTAGTATTTTCTGTAGGTTCACCATAACCCTCTTGCTGTGTAATCCATGCCTCAACTTCAAAAGCCCAGGATCCCAACTGGCTTTGTAAACACTTTCTCAACCTGTCCTGCATCCGTTAACAACTGCTGCACAGACAACCAGGTCCATTTTCTCCTGAACCATATTTAGAATTGTGCTGTTCATATTATCCCTCATTCCTTTAACCAAAAGCTATCACATCACACTGCACAGCATTAAGAGTTTGTTTGCCACCTATCTGTTCATTGAGTCTGACACTGTCCCCCCTGTTGATTCACAATGGCCTCCAAGTTTGGAATCATCTGTAAATTTTGACCCAAAATCTGTAAATTTTGACCCAAGTTTGTTATTAATACAATTGAGAAAAGCAGGCATCCACTTACCGATCTCTGGGAATCATGTGGTTTACAGGCTGGAGGAAAGTTTGCATTTATTCGACACTCCTGTACTCTGTTGCTGTTATTCAGCCATTGCCACATTTGTGCTTTAATGCAGTTAAATGTAGAATACCTAAGGTACGGGTGTATGTTATATAGCATTGGCTGCCAGTATTGCATACTTTCTGATCTCTGTGCCGAGATCTCCAGTCTGACATTAAATGTTTGTTACCCATTGTCCAGCTTTCTACACCAGCAAATATGGCTACAAGATGTGCCTGCGTGTCTATCTGAATGGTGATGGTGTGGGACGTGGAACCCACATGTCTCTCTTCTTTGTCATTATGAGAGGAAACTACGATGGTTTGTTGAGGTGGCCTTTCAAACAAAAGGTGGGTTGGCTTTCTCATTGGCCAGTGGCTGCAGGTAGTGACCTGGGGTTAAATGTCCTTGTATTCTGCATGCAGATTCAGGTGTAGATACCTGGTTTCATCGTTCAGTGCAATACTGGTAAACTGTGAATAGTGGAGGCAGCGGGAGGTAATGAAGATACAGTCTGTCACCAATGGTTGGGGGGGTTGGGGTGGCATGCTGTCTGTTCCTGGTGGTGGGAGAGGGATGGGGGTGGAAGTAGTCACGGAGGTGGTCACTAGGGGAGGGGTGGAGGTGGTCACTTGGGGGAGGGAGAAGGAGATGGAGGCAGTCACAGGGGAGGGGAAGGGGTGGAGCCGGTCACTGAGGGAGGGGCAGAGGCAGTCACAGCGGAGGGGTGAGGGGTGGAGGCAGTCAGTAGTGGGGGGGGTGAGGTGGTCATGTGGTGGAGCGAAGGCAGTAATGAGGAGTGGAGGTGTTCACGGGGGGAGGGGTGGGGGTGGGCACTGGGGTGGGGGAGGGTCAGAGGTGATCACGTAGTGGAGGGACGGAGGTTGTCATGGGGTGGTGTGGCGGAGATGGTCACAGGGTTGTGTGGTGGGGGGGGAAGAGTGGAAGTGTTCGTGGAGCTGTGGGGAAGTGGTGTCTGGTGAGTTTGGGTTCTCAAGTACAGTATTTGTCACTCGACCCACATGAGGAAAAGATCATGTTATAGGCTCACTAATGTGTTGCTGTTTGTGGGAATGTTAATGTGCACTGTTTAGTTGTTGTGTCCTGTTCATGGCAGACATTGGTCACATGTCTGAATGATCTCAGTGGCTGTGCTGCCTGCTGGTTGTTTTGATTCCCAGTGTTATCTCTGTCCTCAGGTCACTCTGTTGCTGATGGACCAGACTAACCGTGAGCACATCATCGATGCATTCAGACCAGACATCAATTCCTCCTCATTCCAAAGACCAGTCACCGAGATGAACATTGCCAGTGGGTGCCCTCTTTTCTGTCCACTTAGCAAACTGGACAACAAGAACAATTACTCGCGTGAAGACTGCATTTTTATCAAAGCCATCGTGGATTTAACTGACCTGTAACAAACCTTTCATCATTCACTGCAATGGGCTGCTGTCCACTGTACAATGCAGCAACAGTTGACTATCTTAGTGGTGCTGTGCTGCTGGTCACGGTGTGAGTGAGTGGTGTGTGCACCGCACTGAGCACTATTTCCACGTTACCTGCCATAGCTTAAGTTATTCTTTGTTGCTGAGTCGTTATCCTGGAGTAGATCAACCTCCTACACCTCTGCCATTAAACTAGGTAATGGCTGGCCTGTCATTAGCAGATGGGAGTTATCTTCAACAGACATTGTAATTAAGAAACAATGTACATTAGAACGGCACAGTGGCTCAGTGATGTTAGCACTGCTGCCTCACAGCGCTAGCGACCTGGGTTCCATTCCATCCTGGGGTGACTATGTGGAGTTTGCATGTTCTCCGGTTTCCTCCCACAGTCCAAAGATGTGCAGGCTAGGTGGATTGGCCATGTTAAATTGCCCATAGTGTCCAGGGATGTGCAGGCTAAATGGATTAGCCATGGGAAATGCAGTGTTACAAGGATAGAGTAGGGGATAGGGTCTGAGTGGGATGCTGTTTGGAGGATTGGTGTGGGCTTGATGGGCCAAATGGCCTGCTTCCACACTGTAGAGATTCTATGATTCTAATCAAATGAGCATGTAGCCGTTCTGCAGCTTATACTGTTACTGGTTTGTATCTCCCTGTAAAGAGAGGTTCCATTGCAGGAGCTTCTTGATTATTGCAGACTTGCCAGAGATAGCAGCATCTTGATGGCCACACTGTGAGCCAAAGCCACAAACTGTGTTTGTGAAAGAAAGACGAGAGACAGCAGCTTAAGGCAAGGCACAGTGGATGTACCTTTCCCTTTCCCCTTGCTGAGGCACACCACAGTCAGTGACACAGCACATCCTCAAGCTGAGTGTGAACAGAGTTGGGACTGTCTGCCCCACGAGCATCCTCCACTTGGCAGCGTGAGCTTTGTCAGCTGGGAGCGAGTAGTTCCCTGCGGGAGAGAAAGAGCAGCTATTCTTGTCTTCCATGTTCACAGCTCTTCAGTCACACAGTGAGCTGCAGAGTTAACCTGGAAGAGGTCACAGTCCCTGTAATAATGATTCACTTGCTGTGCAATGTATGCAATGTGCCACTCCCAGCTTGGCATTAAAGGAACCTTAAATAGTTTGTGCGTTGCACCTAGAGTAGAATACTCACGTTGATTGCTGTCAGTCGCAGTGTGACCTCCATCTCCATGTTAAGTCCACCTGGACAGTGCCATTAATAATGAGGTGGTGTCTCTAACCCTGAGCTGTGTAACTGGGTGGCCGTTTAACTGTGAAGGTATGTTTCCTTGCCTTGGTGGTGATGTGCACCGTGGAGGTAACACACTTAAGAGGAGAGGATGGGCTCACTAACAACTCCCAAACATCGAGTTCATGTTGGAAGGCAGAAGCTTGACTCAGCAATGCTTAGAATCTCTCCATCAGGACTTTGAGTGCTGGTTGTGTTTATTTACCCTTTTATATATTAACAGCCTCTAGCTCATTATTTTATAAGCAAAACATAATAATTTATAAGTTTTACACAGTAATTCCAGGTGATGAAGTGACTGTTGAGAATGAATGGAGCTCTAAGAAGCTTAATTCCTTCTGATGTCTCTGGATGGGCCAAGGCTTCAGTATGGAAGAGTTTCGACAAGATACCAGACCTGCATGCTCCACCAAGAGAGTTCACCCGAGCAATGGGTAGGTGACAAAAGGGTCCGGTCCTGATCCAAGACGGAAAAGAGGATATTGGCAGCAGGTGTTCCGGTGCCTCTCTCCCTTTGTTGTGAATCTTAGAGCAGAGACCTGATTGATTGTTAGAATTGGGAAGTGTCCAATATAACCTGGCTCATCGTTGCTTGCCTTGTCCATAGGTTGTGTGGTACTATTGGCTGAAGCATAGTGAAATGCTTTTGGTCAGAGCGTATGATGTTAGCTGACCATGTGAGATGGTGAGACACAGACATTAAGTAAGAATTATTTCAAGATACTGAGAGACTTGGAGTTGAGGAAAAAATTACCATAAATCAATTCATGTTTAATTGGGAACATTTCCAACTTTTCCGTTGGGTGAATCTATGGTTTTGGAAAGTTCCCGTTAGGTCTGAATATGGCCATTGATACTCACTGGATCACCTGTCATAAACTACTTGAACAAAGTATCATGAATCTGGCACACTCAGGTGTTTGGGAGGAAAGTGTGGATGCTCCGTTGGGAAGATTTCGCCAATGAACTGGACTGAATTCTGTGCATTACGGGAATTTCCCAGTGGCTAGGCAGTAGTTTTAGCAGTTGTGAAAGTGGACTGGTATTGGTTAGTCTTGATGCGAGGGATTGCTGACCAAATGGCACTGCTCATACAGCCTCACCTTTGGAATCCCTAGTAGTAAAATTTGATGTTTTCGAGATTAACTGCTGCCCCTGTCCATAGCTGTACAATGACAGAGAACATAAATGGCTGAGTGAATATTGTGTTCAGTATGTTTTACCCTGATTCCTGCTTTGATTGATGGAATATGTAAGTAAATTGAGCAGTGAGTTGGAGTTCTGCAGCTTTCCAGCCAGGTGAGTGTGGAAAGACGTGATGGTTCTTGCAGGCAGTATGTGGGACTGTATGGAGGAGTATGTTTTCAGGGAAACGGTGAAATGAACAGAGACAAAATCTCAGTGCCACTCTGATATTTCACGACAAGGGGAGCAGGAGCAGGTATATGGTGTGGTGGCCAGTGGCTTCTGCACTATGGAGGGAGAGTTTAATGTAGCTCCGTGAAGGAGTGGGTTAGATGTGAGATTGTGCTACCTAGTTTGGAGGAAGTTGTAAAATGCACACCACATGTTCTTGTGGATACTAACTATGATTGGATCTGCATCAAAAACTGTGAGCTGCTATTAAAATAAAATACCAATAAAAGCATCATAGCTCTATTTCTTTCCAGCGGTTGGCAACAGGCTATTGCTGGGTTGTAATGTATATGCTATGCTTCCTCATAGTGGCAACTTGTGTGTGGATCTGTGGGCAGTGGGAGCATGTTCCCTTTCCTCCTGGGGATTCAGGAGGGAATGGTCTGTGTAAGAATATGTGCTTTACTCAGGATGGTTTGGGTCTGTGTTATGAGAGTAACGGTTTAATGCAAGTTGATGGGGGTAAGACATACTTAATGGACTTGAGTCTCTTTGAACTGAGAGGTCGAGAGCATTCGGGCTTGAATGAATACCTTAGGGTCATGTTAGCTGACTGCCTGGATTTTGTACACAGCAGTTTTCCTTAACGTTAATATTGTAGGTAAATACTTTTATGAGGAATGGGCTACTTTCTCAGCTTTCATATCTTGCAGTTAGGATTAGCAAAATTACAGGATTGATAGTAAACAGTGGCAGTAATCAAAATGGCTTTGAGTGTCAAAATATATCAAACTGAATGAAATTGTGGGCAGAGATCCTTGCTATTTGGCCAGTGTTAACTGATGCACATCTCAGCAAAGGGTGGATGAAACCAAAAGTGCAGTACCATGAACATTCCAGGTTCCAGTGAAAGTGAAGGCGAAAACAAACTGGAAACTGTGAGAATCTCCAGGGAATCTAAGCTGGGCTCCTGCTGTAATCCAGGAAGCAGCATCAACAATAAACCAATGAACTGCTATTAAAATAAAAAACAAATAAAAGCACCTCAGCTCCTATTTCTTTCCTGCAGTCGGCAACAGGGTGCTGCTGGATTGTATTGTGTGGACCACGTTACCTGCCATTGGCAATAGTAACAGCTTGTATGTGGATTTGTGGGCAGTGCATGGGCATGCTGCCTTTCCTTCTGGGGATACAGGAAGGAATGGTCTATAAGAACATGTGCTTTATTCAGTATAGATTGGGTCTGTGTTGTTTAGAATAGTAGTTTAAGGCTAGTTGATGTGGGTCAGCAGACATATTTAATGGACTTGAGCTTCTCTAAACTGTGTTTGTGTGTGTGTGTGTGTGTGAGAGAGAGAGAGACACCTGTACATTGTGTGTGTAGAATGTATGCATCCGTTGGGTTCAAGGTGGGTTTTATTGCTGTACACGACTTTTCCTTGTATTGGTTGCTAATCCACACACAGCTATAAAGAAAATTGTTTTGTTTTTATTAAACCAGAATTGATTTAATTTTACCGTTAGCCAAACCTCCTCATCATTGCTGAATATTAAGATTTTATTTATTAAGCAGTTCAGGATACTCTCTGGTATTGGGCACCTGGCAAAAGACAATTTAGAAAGCTGGTCCGATTGTTTGGTTTTTGTGTAAACTGTTTGCTATCACTCAACTTGTTTTTTAAGAAACATAATAGGGACAGAAAGACATTTGTGCAGCATCTCAGTTTTATAGCCCATTTGACGCAATGATAAATGCAAGTATTTCTGCTCCTTGTGGCATGTCAGTTGATTTTCTCTCATGTTGCTTTTTAAAGCTAAGTTATTTGCCATAACCATTCCTTGTGTAAACAAGTTACATATTTTGCCTAATAATGGCCTCAGGTTTTGGTTTCCCCTATACTTGGAAAAGTTTGTGAAAATGTAAAGACCTGTTTTAAGTCATGTCCTCAGCCTTCTGTTGAAAAGGAAATAACTTTGGCCTGTTCAGTCTTTCCTGTTGGACAGCCAACAAGTGTAACTATATATTTCTAATATGGAGCGGGTCCTACCCAGTTAGAAATTGGGAGTTATTCCATAGTGTACTATGGATGCATGAAGAGTTCAGGTGGCATTAAAACCAGTTGCAGTTGGCGGAGGAGCGGTACAGGACACAAACATGGCATTCTTTTTAACTATGCAAGTATTTATTTTTCATTTCATACAGAATATTGTGCTACATGCAACCGGTGGCTGGGACCAAGAACCTTAGTCAATGATTTTTTTTTGGGCTAATGGTTGGAGTTTTAAGTATAGGCTAGGACAACAGTCACTGAGAATTTTCAGGTGCTCCTTGAGGTAACAGGAAGTTAAACTGGAATTTCCCCACTTTCAACGGCTCATGACAGAGAGAAGTGTAATTGCCCACAATTTTGTCTCATCAGGCATAGTCCTATGGTAGGGAAATATTGGTGCACTCTGTAAGAGAAGGTTGATTAAAATGGAGTAGTAGTAACTTCTGCTATTTCATCCGAACATCTTCCTTTTGCTTAACAGACCAACGGATGAGGTTTGGTCTATGATCGGAAATTGTCCAGGCTTCCTGTTCCCTTTTACCACTCCAGCAGCAATAGTTAACTTTTAAAAATAGTTGGTGGGTTTAGTGCAGTGTTAATACTGAAAGATATTCAGGACAGTGACATTAGGCATAAGTGTTGCTGTCATTTAAGAATCATCTCCACTTACCTGGAGAAGGTGACTGCTTATAGATAAGGAATCAATATAATCAATTCAACAGCTTTTAATGTTTTAATTTTAGTTCTTGCTTAGAATTTACTGCGGTGAGATTGTTAAAGTTTATTCTTAGGATCAGTGTGTCCGCCATTGGCTATCCTGGTTTATTTATTTTTGATGTGTGACTAACACCTTAGGAACTAGTCAGACAAAGGCCAGACTGGACAAGGATGTTAGGTTTTCCTCCTAGTTGTTCTTTTTAATAACAATCTAACAGCTTCATGGTCACTTCTAACATTACAGAAAGGAGAAGACCATTTAGCCCCTTGATCCTTCTTGGCCTGGCTGAACTTTGACCTAAGCTCACTGTCACCTTGTCCTTAGATTGATAGGTATTGGACTCTGGAAAAAAAAATTAAGCGTTGGATATACTTAATGAATGAACAGCCACAGATCTCAGGGTAGAATCTACTGAAATTAAATTTTCATTGGCAATTTGAGAATCTGCATTGTTTAAAAATCTTGAATTGTCAGATGTGACCTCAATTAGACTGAGGTTAAGGATTTTGCTACTTTGCTCTGGTTTGATCTTTAACTTGCTAGATCAGTATCGCAGTCATTCTCGTGCAATACAGGAGGGCAGTACAGTGAACTGTTACTGTCTGTATCAATGAACTCTCTAAGTAGGAAACTGGGCTGTGACAGGCAAATAAACAGACGAGGATTCAGTAACCAGCCCAATGCTTTCAACATTGTAACAGCAACTTTAGAACATGTGATAACATGTCTTCCTGAATCGATTTGGGGGTAGAGAATATAAAGATTTTTATTTTACGTTTTACATTAGAATTACAACAAGGCAAAGTCAATTTTTAAAGCAGAGTTGTAGCCCTAAGGAAGAAGCCCCAGCCCAAGAAGTCGGGGTTGTTGTGTTGTCTGTGACAGTGCATGAGGTGAACATTTAGCTCAGTGTTGGATGAGGGTTCAAGCAGCTGATAGGTACACTCACTGAATTGGTGGCACAACTCTGTGAGGCTGAGTCAACTCATCAAACAAGTAACTGGAGGCCGGAGGCCAATCTGTGTCATATCACCCAAACATGAGGAAATACCCAACAAACAGAGAGGGACAAGGAGGATGCTCACAGCCAAATAAATGCATGTTTGATTTAACATTTTCCCCTCCACTTGCCCGTTTCCTGAAGGCAGGAATTTCAATACTGAACAGACTGAGTTGATACACAGCCACTCAATGTCTGCCAGAGTCACTTCTTACTCAGCCAGAAGAAGGAGAGTTTCTTGCGATTGGGTTTGTTGCTGACGATGCGCAGGATGCGGGGTGAGCGCCAGACCTTCAAAGTGCAGTCATCACTGGCTGTGATCAACATCTCCTGGTCCATGGGACTGAAGGCCACAGAGTTCACCACATCCTCGTGCTGGAGCTTGGCCAAGCAGATATTGTAGTGCCGGTCCCAGATGTAGCCATGCCGGTCCTCAGCACCACTGCCAGAATGAGATGGGTAGAATGTCAAGACCCAACATTCATTTCACAGACTAGCCAACATGGAGCCTGACCCATTACTGACCATTCCCCTCCCCTCCCCACCCCACCCCACCCCACCAACAACATGGGAGCCCGATCTGTCACTGACTGTCCCATTCCTCCCCCCAACATGTCCCCGATCCGTCACTGACCATCCCGTTTCCCTCCCCCACCCACCACGACCCCGATCCGTTACTGACCGTCCTGTCCGCCTCCATCCCCAAAACACGTCCCCGATCCGTCACTGACCATCCGAGCCTGACCAATCGCTTAGCACATTCACAGGCATCCACTCCCTCCTCCAATGCTCAGTAGCAGCAGTGTGCACCATGTACAAGATACTATGCAGAAATTCACCAGCATTTTCTAAACTTACATGTGCTTCCATCTAGAAGGACAAGGGCAGCAGATACATGGGGATGACACGCCTTGCAAGTTCATCTCCAAACCACTCACCATCCTAACTTGGAAATATATCATCATTCCATCACTGGTGCTGGGTCAAACTCCTGGAATTCCCTCCGTAAGGGCATTGTGGGTGTACCTACAGCGATTCAAGAAGGCATCTCACCACCACCAAGCGATGGCTAGATTCTCTCTTATTGGAGATAGTCATTGCCAGGCATTTTGTCTAGTATGAATATTACTTCCAAATTTTCAGCCCAAGCCTGGACATTGTCCAGATCTTGCTGCATTTGGATGTGGACTACTTCAGTATTTGAGGTGTTAGAACACTACCTTGAGCAACTCCTGCAGCGATATCTGGGAACCACAATGACTGATATCCAAGTATCTGGTCTTTCTACATATGCTAGTCTGGAGTTCCCTGTTGTTTTTGTGTTCTACCATTATGTAAGGAAGAGAACAACCACTGACTACTCTTTCTGGATATAATGGTAGAACGCAAAAACAATGGGGAACTTCAGACTAGCGTATATAGAAAGACTACACACAATTACACTAGCAACCACCCCAACACCCACAAACTGAGCTGCATCAGGACACTATTTAAACACGTCACAACACACTGCAGCAACACAAAGCAGAACAGGAGCACCTATACAGAGTCTTCAAAAGGAATGGATACCCGAAAAGCACAATCTGTCGTTACCTCCGAGGCAGACCAGAACATGACCAAATTCACTAGTCACCCTACTGTACATCATTGACATTTCAGAGATGACCACAAGACTACTCAAACCCCTAGGTGTCACAGTAGCCCTCAAACCAACAACCACCCTATGACAGCTACTGACAAACGTTAAAGGATCCCATACCCAAAACCAACAAACCTGGTGTAATGTACAAAATACCATGCAAGGACTGAGAGAAACACTACATAGGCCAAACTGGAAGAAAACTGACAATACAGATACACGAACACCAACTAGCCACCAAGAGACACGACCAATTGTCACTTGTCTCACTACACACTGACAAAGAGGGACATGAATTTGACTGGGACAACACGTCCATAATTGCACAAGTCAAACAGAGACACGTCAGGGAATTCCTGGAGGCCTGGCATTCCAACCAGAACTCCATCAACAAACACATTGAATTAGACCCGGTGTACAAACCTCTGAAAAACAGAACCGGAAGTAATACCAACCACCCCAGCAAACCGAGGCACATAAATAACAAGCGGGACGGAACACCGATACTTCACTGGAGGCGCATTGATGATGTTGCCTAGCAGGGTGATTAAACGTTTGCAACCAAAAACCAGCTCAGCAAGCATGTCTACAACCTCGTCCAGAAGCTACAAATCTTCAAAAACTTGATATACATCATCTCTCACTTATCAGGATTAATTTGATCTGCCCAATTTACCAGCCCATCAATGTCAGCCTGTAGCCTGAGACTATCCACTTCATTATTAACACTACCACCAATTTTCATGTCATTTGCAAACTTATTAATCATACCTTCTACATTCATATCCAAGTCATTAATGTATATAACAAACAGCAAAGGTCCCAGCATGGAACCCCATGGTACACCTCTAAAATCTGGCAATTTTCCACATTACAAGGTTGATAGCAGTGGTGTAGCTATCCTGGAACCGACTGGCTACACTTGGACATGGCTAATGACTGAGCCACTTGTCATTAGTATCTCTCAGTGATATTGTGGCCCATAGTCTGTGCTGTCTCCAGTGTGCTCAGATGTCTTTTCAGATCAACAGGTTGAACTGAATTGGCTGAAGACAGAATTGTGAAGTGGTGGACCCCAGGAAGTAGCCAGGCTGAAATGCAGTATCCACCACGGTGATCCCACCTTCAAGAAACAAACAATTTCTTCCTCTTGCTCCCTGAATCAAAAGTGAACAAGTTCTGGTAATCCGGGTCCCTGCTCTTCATGATTCAATATAATTTTAGGAGACAAGATTAGCTCTGCCTGAGACCAGCTGTAATTCTCTCGGCCAAGTTGAGGGTATTGTACCAACCTACACAGGTGTACTATGGAGTCAGTGCCCAGTGAGGAAGAAAGAGAGATGGATTCTTCCTAGTGACTCTCACTATCCTGACTGTACCAGCCCTGCCCCTTCCCCTCCTGAAGTATGAGTAGCCGTTGTGGCAGAGGAAGTCAGGCTGCAGCACCTGTGGAACCTAAAGAGGGATCAAAAGTGGAAAAACAAAGCCCCATCCGTTCACCTGGCGACATAATCTCTGCTAACATCCAGGAAGATGAAGAAGCACTCATCATTGGGTGTGTAGGCTGTGTGTGCCCTTAGAGTCTGAGTGACTTCCCGCATTGTCTTCAAGTCAAACACATGGATATCAATCTCCTCGGCGATGGGTGGGGGGTTCATGGGATCACTGATGATACAGCCCTTGGGCCAGGCTCGACTGTTCACATATAAATACCTGTGAGGCAGAAGAATGCAGTATCAGAACCACAAAGCACTGAGTAGCTACAGGAGCTGATGTACAAGCTGATGTCACTGATATGGATTCAAAAGCTTTGGCAGAATGGAGGGGATGACTGACCTGTGATCTGGAGACAGACCCATGCCTATAATGTGACCATGGACATCGATTGTGTAGTCCAATGCATCAAAGAACTCATTGGAGCTTCGTTCTTCCCCTAATACAGGTCCTGATGTCGTCATATGTTGAGGCAGAATTTGTTTAATACCTGCAATGACAGAGGTTTCGAGAAATCCAGTGAGGAATCACCCCTCCATAAAGCACTGCCATTAACAGGCTGCTGCTGGCCACTGTCAGATGGAAAGCAATGTGAAACCGACAAATAAAACCTACTTCAGGTCTTGTATACTTTATGTGGGAAGCATTGGTGTTGTGCTAAAGTCACTAGACTAGAAATGCAGAGTCCCAGTTTGGGGACCTGGGTTTGAATCTCACCATGGTAAATGGTGAAATTTGAATTCAGTAAATAAAATTTGGAATCAAAAGCTGGTCTAACAGCACCTGTTAATGGTAGTCAGTCACTTGTTATAAATACCAATCTGGTTCATTGATGTCTTTTAGGGAAAAAAATCTGCCATTCTTACCCAGTCAGGCCTACATGTGACTCCAGACCCACAGTAATGTGGCTGACTGTTAACCACCCTCTAAAATGACCAAACAAACCACATAGTTTTAGAGCAGTAAAGGATGGAGAAATGCTGACCCAGGCAGCAACACCCACATCCCATGAACAAATAAAAATCAATTCAAAATGAGGGGCCAGTATGCCTAGTACATTCATTTCCATGTGTTCCAAGGTTTTTTGACTGGGCAGCTGCAAGATCCATAGGTATCTCACTTGATATCCGATAAAACCAACCCTGTTCCTCTCCTTTGCCCAACGCCCAAACAACAGACTTCAAAGAAATAAGAAACAAAAAGCTGCCTTTCATATGCTCCAGTTTCCTCCCACAGCCCAAAGATGTGCAGGTTAGGTGGATTAGCCATGAGAAATGTGGAGTTATGGGATAGGGTGGGGATGGGGTGCGTCTGGGTGGGATGCTGTTTGGAGGGTTGGTTTGACTTAATGGGCTGAATGGCCTCCTTCTGTACTGTAGGGATTCTATGATTCAAACACTGAATAAATCATAGCTGTCCTGTTCTTGGCAGTGCACTTTTGAGGACATGAGGACATTGGAGTGGGTGCAGAAGAGAATTACAAGAATGGTTCCAGGGCTGAAGGATTTCAGTGATGAGGATAGATTGGAGAAGCTGGGACCACTTTCCTTGGAGAAGGGAAGGTTAAGGAGATCAGTTTGAGGTGATCAAACCAGAATAGACAGTGAGAAATACCTTCCCATTGGTGGAAGGATCGAGAAGCAGAGGGCACAGATTTAGGGTGATTGGCAAAAGAAGCAATAGTGACATAAAGAACAAAAACGAAATAGCTGGAAAAGCTCAGCAGGTCCAGCAGTGTCTGTGAAGAGAAACCAGAGTTAATGTTTCCAGTCCCTTCCTCAGAAGGGTTTTCTTTCTGATTTACAGTTTCCACAGTTTTTTTGGTTTGTATTGTGACATAAGGAACAATGTCTTTATGGAGCAAATGCTTAGGATCAGGGATGCAGAGTCAATGAGTCTTTCGTAAATTCCCTACAGTGTGGAAGCAGGCTATTCAGCCCATTTGGTCCACATCGACCCTCTGAAGAGCATCCCACCCAGACCCAACCCCCTACCCTATCCCATGACTCCACATTTCCCATGGCCAATCCACCTATTCTGCACATCTTTGGACTGTGGGAAGAAACCAGAGCACCTGGAGGAAACCCACGCAGACACGGGGAGAATGTGTTTACTCCACACAGGCAATTGTTCAAGGGTGGAATCGAACCTGGCACTGTGAGGCAGCCGTGCTAACCAAAAAACCAACCTGCCACCCCTTTTGAAGCAAAATTTGACCAATTTCTGAAGAGGAAACATTAGCAAGGCTGCAGGGAATTGCAGGAAGCTGGCACAAATTCTGTGGGCTAAATTGCCCCCTTATATGTTGCGACCATTCTGTGATATTATCCACCTCTCTCTGTTACCTACTTTACAAATGTTGCTTGAACATCTCCACATCTGTCTTAGTCAAATTTTACTTCATCATTGCTCCTTCCTTGGGACAGTAAAGGTACCATATAAATGCAAGCTGTTACCAATACATCACCAACACTGATGTTCAGCATATTGTTAACAGAGCACTCTGGCCACGGGAGCTGATAGCTACCTATTTGATGGGGAGTATATGTAAGGCTTCCTGTGGTGAAGATCAAGTACTTTTTGTCTGGATTTGTCTGCTGTTCAGACAGGAGGGTCATGTCTGCTGGCTTTTTTTTAGCTTGTAGAAAAAGTTCTGCCACCCTTGCTTCAATTTGTTTCTCATCCATCAGGGGCTGCTCCCCATTGGAGAATACATTCCCCTCTCTCTGTCCGTCATCCTGGCTGCTGACCGTCACCTCTCCTGGGCTCTCAGTCCTGCACTTTGCTCTGCTGCAAACCTCATCCTCACTGTCACTGCCCAGGTCGAACACTCGAGGAGTTGGGTCACACGGTTGCCCCTCGGAGCCCAGCAGCAGGTCGGGAGTGTCGTGTCGACTGCAGTCTGCCACCATGACCGTGCGAATGGTGCTGGCATTCAGATTCTGCAGCTGGAACAGCCTCTTCACCACATTTATATTCTCTGATTCGATATCCTAGAGTGAGAAGTGGGATATATCATTAAGACTTCCGAGAAATAGGCAACACACCAGCCCTCAGGACTGATATCCCAATATTACACACGGGCCAAAGTGAAACACTGTGGGTGCTGGAATTGGGCAATTAAAATAGGAAATAGATGGGGCGAAATAGACAGTGCACGTTTGAGCTGCTCCATCTTTCATCAGAACACTTCATAAAGAAATGCAGTTAAGGCAGAATGTGGTGTGGGATGGAGATGAACCAGGTCTCTATCAAATGTTGCAGTGGACCATACAGAGGCTGTTTTTAGGGTAGCATTGAGCTGCAAAGACATGGAAGTAAAATGAAGAACTGCAAATGCTGGAGATCTGAAATAAACAAAAACAGAAATAGCTGGAGAAACTCAGCAGGTCTTGCAGCATCTGTGGAGGGACAGTATATATTTCGGGTCCTCTTCAGATCTCAACTTCAAGGGTCACTTGGACTCAAAGTTAACTTTGTTTTTTCTCCACAGATACTCACAGACCTAAGTTTCTCCAGCAATTTATTTTTTGTTTGTGCAAAGGCACAGGAGTGCCCTGGGTGGCAGGAGATCACAGTACAAGTAACGGAAACTGTTAGCAACTGGAAAAACTCAACCTGAAAAGTTTACTCTGTGGCAGAGTCATAGAAATCTACAGCACAAAAAAAGGCCAGCACATTCATGCTGGTCAAAAACAACCACCCAACTACTCTAATCCCATTTTCCAACACTTGGCCCATAGCCTTGTCTGCCATGGCATCACAAGTGCACATCAAAATACTTCTGAACTATTATGAAGGTTTCTGCATCTACCATACTTACAGGCAGTGAGTTCCAGATTCCCAATTTCCTCACATGTCCTCTAAACCTGCTGCCCCTTACCTGAAATCTATGCTCCATTGTCATTGAGTCCTCCAGCAAGGGGCAAGATTTCTTCCTCTAACTTATCTATGCCCCTCATAATAACTATCTCACTCACGTCCCCTCTAAATCTCTTCTGCTTCCAGGAAAACAACCCCAGTATGTCCAAACTCTCTTCACAACTGAAACTCTCTAGACCAGACAGCATCCTGGTAAATCTCCCCTACACCGACTCTAGCGCTATCATATCCTATAACGTGCATTCCAGAACTGCAGCAGTACTCTAACTCCAGTGATTTCTCTCTATAGTTGCTTCCCTGGTCCATTGGTACAATGTCAGGCCTCAGATGTCCATTTCACACACAGCATTGCCACCACTCATGAGGGAATGTCCTTGGAATTGCAGATCAATCCTGAAATAGGACATCAAGACACTTTCCATTTGAAATCAAAGCATCACTTCAACCATCGTGACACTGTTAAACACGGCAACATTATCTCAGGTCAACTTCCTAAAGTTATTTCAATCAGGTTCCTGTTCCAAGACTAAATACTGCCTACGTCTGTACTGTACCCCAGTGTTATACAGCGACAGACCTGTCTGCACCAGTACTGTACCCCAGTGTTATACAGCGACAGACTTGTCCCCACTGATACTGTACCCCAGTGTTATACAGCGACAGACCTGACCCCACCAGTACTGTACCCCAGTGTTACACACTGACAGACCTGTCCCCACCAGCACTGTACACCAGTATTATAGAGTGACAGACCTGTCCCCACCAGCACTGTACACCAGTATTATAGAGTGACAGACCTGTCCCCATCAGCACTGTACACCAGTATTATAGAGTGACAGACCTGTCCCCACCAGTAGTGTATACCAGCGTTATTCACTGATGTACCCACGTTATACAGTGACAGATCTGCTCATATCAATATTTGGCTCTAGTGTCATATTGTGAAAGATCTATATCCTCCAGTACTCCAAAGTCCTCTTTGGATGAGAGGTGATCTATACCCCAATTCCTAAGTTATCCTCAGTTTGACTGCATGGACTTCACCAGCCCATGGTTATAGCACACTGATCCCACAGACTGTGGTAGACACCTCCCTCTAGTGGTTGTAGCCTATCTTCTGGTTGCCATAGATTACACAAACTGCTGAAACTGTACAGAACATTATTCCAAGTGATTCTGCTCATAAATACTGAGGAAAAAGAAATCAATCACACTGAGTTACCAACAGAATACAGTAGTGCAGGGCCTTTCAGTTACTGTGACTTTCCACTGGTAAGTGTGCTTCAGTACAGTTCTAACTAACAAATTGACGGATCTGAAAGAGATCAGTGGATAGAGAATAAATACAGAGCCAGTCTGGAGAGTACTGATAATCACAAGACAAAAGCATTGTGAGCAAGATTGAGAGAAGAAAAGGAGGTGAAAACAAGATTAACAAACAACCAAAGAGTGTAACAGAACATAAATTGGAAATAGTGCAGACGTATGCAGTACAACACACTCATAGGCACAGATACTCACACAGATACACATTCACATTTGAAGTCAAACACACAATCCCTCAAACTGACATGTACACATTCTTCAGAATAGAAACAGATATGTGCAAGAGACAGACTGCAGTCACATTATTGGCAGATTTTTGTATCAGTTTGTTAACTATAGCCTGGAGTTTCCGAACTTGGAGACAATGAGGACTGCAGATGCTGGAAGCCAGAGTCTATAGGTGAGAGGCTGGAAAGCACAGCAGGTCAGACAACTTTTCCAGCCTCATACCTATAGTGTCTGGATTTTTCAAACATTGTCAGATCCACTCTGCTTGAAGCTTGCCCTGTCTTGACCCTGCTCCACATTTTTCCTGGTTCTCCTGAACCTAGCTTTTCCAGAAACGTGGAGTACATCAGTGCCCTGGGGAATTCTACCACAGTACAGTGTAGTTGGGGCAGACAGGATAGATCCCCTTTTTACGACACACTGACAAATGGAAAGTTTAAGTCTAGTGTGATGTTCGTGAATGAGTGCGGTGTTAGGTGGGTAGGTTTTATTTATTTGTTTATGGGATGTGGGTATCGCTGGCTAGACCAAGATTTATTGCCCAGAGTGCAGTTAAGAGTCAGCACATTGCTGAGGGTCTGTAGTCACATGTAGGCCAGACCAGGTAAGGACAGCAGTTTCTTTGCCTAAATAGGGAAGGAAATGTTTGTGAACCAGATGGGTTTATTGTCATCATTAGGCTAGTTTTTATTCCAAATTTTATTGACCGAATTCAAATTTCACCACCTTCCATCATGAGATTCAAACTCATGTCCCCTGGGGTTCGGGATTACTGGTTTTAGTGACATTACCAGGTTGGCAGGTGGTAGATAGGAAGGGTATTGGCTGAGATGGAGGTCAGTTCTGAAGTTGCCCAGGAATTGGACTAATTTGTTTTCTGTCTAACATTGGTCAAGTAAATGTGCAAGTATAGACATCAGAACTGTCTAAACTCTCCCAATCGAATCAAAGTCAAAAGGTGCTTACACAGTATTCCAGACAGTATGGAAATATCCATCAGAAAATGAAATTTCTCAACCATTTCCATGTCAGCCAGTGCATCAGGATTTCCAAAAGGTCCTCACACACATTTCTCATTATATATCCATTCCTTGGCAATCCAGGGACTGGAAGAGTTGGGCCTATGAGCTCTTAACTGGATATAAAATGAACATTGCCTATGTAAACATCTCACATTGTAAGGACACCTACCACTGTAGAGTGTTATTGATCCTCTGTCTTATAACTCCATGTTCCTTAGACTGTGGTGTAAAAGAGACAAGCTATTTTTGTATTTACTAGAGTATATGACACAAAAATAAGTCAGGGCGCAAATTATGACCTCAAAATGGGGACTGGATTCCATTTCCTTGTCATTGCCCAAATAACCAAGGTTTTTTTAACCCTACTTCACTGTAACTTGGTCTAGATATTACAGCCATAGAGTCATAGAGTAATTCAGCATGGAAACAGGCCCTTCGGCCCAAACTGGTCTATGGTGCCCACTCAACTAGTTCCATTTGCCCGCATTTGGTCCATAACCCTCTATGGTCCTTCCCATCCATGTACCTATCCAAATGTTTTATAACTGTTCCTATTGTACCTGCCTCAGCCACTTTCTCTGGCAGCCCACTGCATATATGAACCATTCTCTGCATGAAGAAGTTGCCCCTCAGGTCCTTTTTAAATCTTTCCCCTCTCACTCAAACCTATGCCCTCTAGTTTTCAAATCTCCATCCCTGGAAAAACAACGATATGCATTTATCCTATCTATGCCCCTCACGATTTTATATACCTCAATAAGGTCACCCCTCATTCTCCTATGTTCCAAAGAATAAAGTCCTTTCCTGGCCAACCTCTCCCTATAACTCAGGCCTACTAGTCCTGGCAACATCCTTGTAAATCTTCTTTGCACACTTTCCAGTTTAACTATGTCTTTCCTATAACAGGGTGACCAAAACTGTACAGAATACTCCAAGTGCAACCTCACCAACGTCTTATACAACTGTAACATAACGTCCCAACTCCAATACTCAGCGCCTCGATTGATGCAGGCCAGCATGCTAAATGTCTTCTTCACCACCCTGTCCACCTGTGACACCGCTTTCAATGAACTATGTACTTGTACTCTTGGGTCCCTCTGTTCCACAGCACTCCCCAGGACCATATCATTAAATATAAGTCCTACCTTGGTTTGACTTTCCAAAGTGCAATACCTCACACTTATCTGTATTGAATGGCATTTGACAATCCTCAGCCCACTTCCCCATCTGATCAAGATCCCTCTGTAATTTTTGATAACCTTCTTCGCTATCAATGATAACTCCTAATTTTGTATCATCTGCGGACTTACTGATCATGCCTTGTACATTCATGTCCAGATCATTTATGTAAATAACAAAGGTCCCAGCACTGACCCCTGTGGCACACCACTAGTCACAGGCCCCCGGTCCGAGAAACAACCTTCAACCATCACCCTCTGCTTGCTACCATCGAGCCAGTTTTGAATTCAATTAGCTAGCTCTCCCTGGATCCCATGCGACCTAACTTTCATGACTAACCCGCCATGCGGGACCTATTCCACTGAAATATCATTGGAAGGCAAATAACTTTTCTCTATTATACATACAATGAAACAGCAGTGATAGGGGACTCTATAGTCAGGGACACAGACAGATGTTTCTGTAGCCACAAGCAAGACTCCAGGATGGTGTGTTGTCTGCCTGGTGGCAGGGTCAAGGATGTCTCTTTGAGCAGCCGGAGGTCATGATCCATATTGGAGCCAATGACACACAGACAGGAAGAGAGATGAGGTCCTGCAAAGGGAGTTCAGAAAGTTGATAGGAAGCTGAAAAGCAGGATCTCTTGGGTTGTAATCTTGGGATTACTTCTTATGCCATGTGCTAGTGAGGCTAGGAATACGAACATAGTGCAGTTAAATACCCGGCTAAACAGCTGGTATACGAGACAGGGCTTTAGGTACATGGATCATTGGCATGTCTTCCAGGGCAGGTAGGACCTATACAAGAAGGACGGGTTGCTCCTAAACTAGAGGGTCACCAGTATCCTGGCAGTGAGTTTTGCTAGTGCAACTTGGGAGTGTTTAAACTAGTGTGGTGGGGGGATGGGAACCAGAGTAATAGGACAGCAAGTAAAATGACCGAACAGGAGTCAGAGAATAAGGCTCGTAAGACTAAAGGAAGAATAGACAAGGAGAGGTTAATGAACATGGCAGGACTGGCGGTCTGAGGTGTATTTCTTTTAATGCAAGGAGTATGACAGGTAAGGCAGATGAACAGAAAGCTTGGATTACTACATAGAACTATGATGTTGTAGCTGTTACAGAGAGTTGGTTGAGAGAGAGAGACAAGACCGAATGCTTAATGTTCCGGGATTTTAGATGTCTCAGGCGAGATACAGAGGGACGTAAAAGAGTTGGGGAGGTTTCAGAACCCCCAACCATGGACATCATTAACTTTTAAATTCCAAAATGTGCTTTGTAAAAGTGATGTGCCATTTTCAAAAAAATGACAGCAGATATAAATTGTCCAGAAAGGTCCTATTTGGGATTTGTGGAATGTTGTACCTGTAGATTGTTGGAAAAAATTTGAGAGAGAAAAATATAACAGGAGGAGATAACGAAGGAACTGACTGTCTTCCCCCTCTCTACAGAAAGTCACCCCTACAGAGTTTTTGTGGTTTGGCTTTCCAGGAAATACAAAGTAGAGGTTACAAACTACCTGCAATGCTAATCTGTTTGTGTTAATGGCCTGACGTTCTATTGTGTGGACTAGTGTGCTGTGGGGTTCACAGCTCTGAGAATAGTCATTTAAACATCCCTGTGCTGTTGGTAAAAGAAAAAGGAAAATACTCTCTCACTCTGAGGGCTGTCAGTTGCCTATAAAAAGGAATTGAGACAAGGGTCTCAATCAACCTACAAATCAACTAAACCACATGGGCTGTGAGGAGCTGCAGCCAGTTACGTTTCCTGCAGACATAGTCGTCAGGAATACTAGACTGCTCCCTGATCTCCTACATCTGACAGGAGCACACCACTGCCCTAACTGCCATCTCTGCCCCTTCACAGTAAGACAAAGAACAGAATCTTACCTTACCTCGTTGCTGATTGCCCTCCTCACCAAAGCCCAAACTTAAACCTCCAGCAGCACTTCAACCAAAAAGCAGCCCTTCTCTAAAGCTGGTCTCCTTTTTATTTGCTCCTGAGCAGTCACTAGTGTCTGAGCCGATTTCTCCCAGAATCCTCTTCAGTTGCTCCTCAGCATCACCCTCTGTTAGATGCCCTTGCACTGTCACTGACACCAGCTCCTCAGTGTTCCCCTCCTTGGTTGCAGTGACTGAGTCTACTCCTCCAAGAATCCTCCTTAGTCGCTTCTCAGCAGCGCCCTCAATGGAATGCCGCAGTTCTAGAAGGCAACTCACTACTATCTTCTCAGAGGCAATTAAATGGGCAGTAAACATTGACCCAGCCAGCACACCCTCATCATGTAAATGAATAAAAAAGGTACAAAATGGAAATGGTGCGTGAAGATGACACTTCGATAAGGCGAGTAAAATTCAAGCTTGTGAGTTTAATGTGGTGTGGATACAGTATTGGATAGGAGATACAAAGTAGTGAGACTTGTTGAATTGTTGTTTTTCACATGGTATGGAGGTGTCTCCCATACTTCAACATCTTGGGATTGAGTATTTAGGGATAAATTTCAAAGTTTGCATATATTACAAATCTTGGAAACATTATAACCAACGAGAAGGATGGCAGTCAACTTCTGTGAAACATAGACTGGTGAACTAGGCATTTAGCAGATGAAACTGAAACATTTTGTCAGAAAGCACAAGGATAGGCAATATGAAACATACGATTCTAAAGATGCAAAATTAAAGAGACCTGGATGTATTCATTTATAAATGGAGCAGGGCAGATTGAAAAGGCTGTTGAAACTGCAGATGGTCTTACTGATTGATGCAGAGAATGCAAAAACAAGGAGATAATGCTTAGCCTTGATAAAATGTGGTCCAACTACAGCATCAGTTATGGGCCTCACATTTTAGGAAGGATGGCAAGGCATTTAAAAGAGTGCCAGGGAGATTTATTACAACAGCTCCAGTATTGAAGGAGCTCTGTTATATGGAGAAACTGAAGAAGCTGGGATTAGTCTCAATACAACAGAGATGACTAAGAACAGATTTAATCAAGGGAGTGAAATTGAGTGATTTCCACAGAGTAAATAAGGAGGATCTGTTTCTTGTAGTGAGAATGTCGAGTAAACACTAGACTAAAAGAAATTGGCAGAAGAACCAGAAGGAAGATGGGAAGTTTGGTTTTCCAGAAAGGTTGCTATGATCTGGAATCGGATAAAGGCTGTAACATGAAGAAATTGCAGGGCAATGGCGAAAGAGCAGAGAAGTAGAATTAATTAGAAGATTTTTCAAAAAGCTGGAACAGACAGTAGGCTAAATGGCCTCCTTTCAGCTATATGAATCTGAGATTCTGGTTTAATCGGTATCGACATTTCTGCTCTTTTTCTTCCCAGTTCCCTTGAAAGTGCTGTGTCTTGATCGCACCTTCACAGCTGCAGAGAGTATTGGAAGAGAGCCCAGTCTTGATCATGTCCTCACACCCTCGCTCACATATAGTCACACCTGCTAACCATGCAGTCATGCACTTGCTCACACACACCAGCTCACACACATGCAGTTGGTCACATATACACCTGCTGATGCACACACACACACATAATTGCAGTGGCTCACATACACAGAGTTGCTCACAAATGCACACACACACAGTTGCTCAATCCACACATATCCACACACTGACTCATACACACACTCTCTTGCTCATGTACACCCATAGCAGCAACTTGCTAACCAACAGCATGCTCTTGTCATATACGATAGAAATGGTGCTCCCCCTTATGTTGCTATTTCTTGTGAATTGTCTTGATAAGTACAGGCTTTGACAGGATGTGTTTTCTTGTCAGCAAGACTGTGTAGAATACTTGCTTACTCTATCATACACTCTCTCTCAGGCTCTCTATGAAACTTGCTTACTTTATCATACTTTCTCTCGAGGTCTCTATGATACTCACACTATATGCTCTGTGAAGCCCAATGCTCTCTCTGACACAGTCACTTGTTAAGTCTCTGTCATGCTTATTTGCACGCACTGAATTGCTACATTTGGCATCAGAGAGACATAGTAACTTCTTACTTATTTTTAATGTCAGCATATTGGCTTCAACTTGAAAGAAGATTAGGTTTAAAGGGATGATGGCAGCAAAGTGCTAATGTGTATTTACCTGGTAGGCCTTGTTTAACCATAACACTGAGCAAGACGTCATATTCCCAATCCAGTGTAGGTTCCCAGAGATCAGATGTGTTTCATTTAACCAACAACCAAAGACATCGTAGGGTTTATTCCTCACTCTGGACAGCAAGGTGAAGTCATCTGAAAGGAAAGAGCACCCAGAGTGGGTGAAATTAACAGTGCTCACAGCCTCAAACAATGATACAGCAAGGAAAAGGCACGACAAATAGCTGTTTCATTAGCCAGCCTCACACAAATGCTCTTTCCTTTTGCTGTGAAAATGCTTCCTTTTCAAACATAGAACATAGAACATAGAAGAGTACAGCATAGTATAGGCCCTTCAGCCCACGATGTTGTGCCGACCTATTATCCTACTAAGATCAAACTACCCTGCATATCCTACATTTTACTATCCTCCATGTGCCTATCCAAGATTCACTTAAAAGTCTCTAAAGTATCTGACTCCACTACCACAGCGCACTCCACATGCCCACCACTCTCTGTGTGAAGAACCTACCTCTGACATCTCCCCTATACCTTCCTCCAATCACCTTAAAATTATGCCCCCTCGTAATAGTCATTTCCGCCCTGGGAAAAAGTCTCTGACTATCCACTCTATCAATGACTCTCATCATCTTGTAAACCTCTATCAAGTCACCTCTCATCTTTCTTTGCTCTAATGAAAGAAGCCCTAGCTCCCTCAACCTTTCCTCATGAGACCTGCCCTCCAGTCCAGGCAGCATCCTGGTAAATCTCCTCTGCACCCTCTGTTCCACATCTTTCCTATAATGAGGTGACCAGAACTGAACACAATATTCCAAGTGTGGTCTAACCAGAGTTTTATAGAGCTGCTGCATAACTTCGCGGCTCTTAAACTCAATTCCCGTGCCAGGTATCCAGTTACCTTACAGACATTATTCCTGAATCTTCTCTGTTTTAGGCAGTGCATTCCAGCTGGAAACTCTGAATAATTTTCAGAAACTGCCATAATATATTTTACGTTTAATATTTCTCAGACAACTTCAGTTTTGAAGGATTGTGGAAAAGGACTTTATTTCAAGTTTTATGGATATTAAAGACCCAAATTAGGAAGGGCCAACCTTGATTTTTATGCCCAAGTCTGGAGTGGGTCTTTTGAAGCCACAACCTTCTGAGTCAAGGTAAGAGTGTTCTGAACTGAGCCAAAGCTGATACATAGTTAATTAATGAATCTTTTGTTTCTTCAAATGCCATTTAATATTTTCTTCGATTGAACTGTTTTTGTTTTCGTATTCATTCATAGGATTGCTGTTTGTGCCAACATTTATTGCTATCTCTAATTGCCCTGTAGAAGGTGGTGGTGAACTGCCTTCTTGAACTGCTACAGTCTAAATAAGTCCTGACTGGCTGCAGTTGTTGAGTTTATCCCTCACACTTCTTTTTGAACAGAGTTTAATATTTGCAATCCTCCAGTTCCCTGGCACAAAACCCAAATCCATAGATGATTGTGGTCAGAGTCTCAGCGATTACCGCCCTGACTTTTTGGAATGGAGGCAGAGGATTAGCTGTGGTCATATTGTTTACAGCAGCAGGCTGGAGGGGCTAAGTGGCCTCCTCCTGCTCCTAATTCAGACATTCTAAACTTCCCTCAGCAAACGCGGATGTATTCATCTCGACTTGGTGAAATCTCTACTTTCAGTAGCACCCAATCTTTAAAATGTTTTGTTTCAGGATTTTAGTTTAGTTTTCAGCAGTTGTTGGGGTTTTGAAGTTGGCTGTGGAAGCTACTATACATCTCTCTTGGCCACAGCAAAAAGCTGGAGTCTGTCTCTTTGCTGCCAGAATCGCATGTGAGACAATGTATTTTACTGATTTGCCTATGCCAAAGATGTGTTTATGGGATGTTACTATTTTGGAACAATTGCTGTTTAGTAGTTAAATAATCTATTATTCTGTTAAGTTTTCCAACAGAATTAAAATTAGACGAATTCTTCTTTCTTTTGTTTGTATTCTAACTGTAGGGTAAGAATAAGGTGTGTTTTGCTTAAAGCCAACTTGCCTTTAAATAAGATAACACTTGGGGTTTAAGCTATCTCCTTGATATTCTGAAGGAGATTTGGTCTGGTCCAGAACACTGCCTAAAAACCTCTTAAATGTTATGTGTAAGTTTATTAAAGATTTTTGCACTCCAATTTGTGTCACTCGTTTTTCTAACCTCAGTCTCCTTTTCACTTTCAGGTCTTTCCTACACATCACAAATACTTCCTGAATTCAGCTTCAAGCAGCATTCATTATTGTGTCATTTTAATCACCATCATTTGAATCATCTAAGCAGCTCAGGCTGTATACAATTTTTTATTCTCCATTATACATTGTGTCTATTTTGTACAGATACAGTCTTTCACATGACATAATATACAACAACAGGGAGGCAAAGTGGCTCAGTGGTTAGCACTGCTGCCTCACAGCACCAGGGATCCGTGTTCGATTCATAGTGTTAAGGGCTTAGATGGGGTGGAATTTGTTAAATGTGTTCAGGAAAGTTTCCTCAAGCAGTAAGTGGAGGGTCTATTCAGGAAGGGGCAAAACTCAACCTACTATTGGGAAATACAGCAGGACAGGTGACTGGGGTGACAGTGGAGGAGCACTTTGGGACGAGTGACCATAGTTCTATTAATTTTAAAATAGTTATGGAGAAGGACAAAACTGGTCCACAGGTTCAAGTTCTAAATTGGGGCAAGACGAATTTTGATGGAATCAGACAGGAACTTGCAGGGGTTGACTGGAGCAGTTCGTTTGCAGGCAAAGGAACCTCTGGCAAGTGGGAGGCCTTTAAAAGTATGATAGCTAGAGTTCAAGGTCGGTATGTTCCTGTGAGGCTGAAGGGCAAGGTTGGCAGGAGTAGGGAACCCTGGATAACAAGATATATTCAGGCTTTCACCAGAAAAAAAGAGACATTGCTCAGGAACAGGCAGCTGGGATCAAGGTAATCCCTGGAGGTATATAGGGGATACAGGAGTTTACTAAAGAAGGAAATCAGGAGGGCAAAAAGGGGGCGCAAGATAGCTTTGGCTGAGAAGATTAGGGTGAAGCCAAAGAGATTCTTTAAGTATATTAAAGTAAAAAGAAAAACTAGACAGAGAATAGGACCCCTCAAGCACTAAAGTGGACAGGTATATGTGGAACTGCAGGAGATGGGCAAGGTCTTCAATGAATATTTCTCCTCTGTGTTTACCGTGGAGAAAGACATGAAGTCTTGGGAACTTGGAAAAGTTAGTGGTGATGTCTTGGGGACAGTCCATATGACAGTACAGGTGGTGTTGGAAATATTAGAAAGTATGAAGGTGGATAAATCTCCTGGTCCTGATCAGATATATCCAAGTACCCTGCAAGAGACTGGGGAAGAAATTGCGGCAGCCCTGGCTGATATATTTGCATCATCGTTAGCCATGGGTGGAGTCCTGGAAGACTGGAGGGTAGCAAATGTTGTGCCCTTATTCAAGAAGGGCTGCAAAGAAAAACCTGCTAATTATAGACCAGTAAGCTTAACATCTGTATTAGGTATGTTATTTGAGAAGATTCTGAGGGATAAGATATACATGCATTTAGAAAGACAGGGTTTGATTAGGAGTAGTCAGCATTGCTTCCTGCGTGAGAAGTCATGCCTCACAAATCTGTTAGAATTTTTTGATGAAGTGATCAGGAAGGTTGATGAGGACAGGACGGTAGACATGGTCTATATGAATTTCAGTGAGGTTCCACATGGTAGGCTGTTCTGGAAGGTTAGATCACATGGAATCCAGGGAGAACTGGCAAATTGGATACACAATTGGCATGATGGTAGGAAGCAGAGGGTAACGGTGGAAGGATGCTTGTTGGACTGGAGGCCTGTGACTAGTGGTGTGCCTCAGGGGTCGGTGCTGGGCCTGTTGCTGTTTGTTATCTATATCGATGATTTGGATGAGAATGTACAAGGCATGATTAGTAAGTTTGCGGATGACACTAAAATAGGTGGTATCGTGGACAGAGAGGAAGGTTATCAGAAGTTGCAGCAGGATCTTGATCAGTTGGGGAAGTGGGTTCAGAAATGGCAAACAGATTTTAATATGGGTAAGTGTGAGGCGTTGCATTTTGGAAAATCCAATCAAGGTAGGAGTTTCTTGGTGTTTGGTAGGGCCTTAAGGAGTGTAGTGGAACAGCGGGACCTTGGAGTTCAGGTGCACGGTTCTCTGTAAGTGGAGTGACAGGGAGACAGGGCTTTTGGCACACCGGCCTTCATCAGTCAGGGCACTCAGTACATAGAAGATAGGAGCAGGCGGCCGCCATTTGGCCCTTTGAGCCTGCTCCACTATTCTTCACAATCATGGCTGATTGTCCAACTCAATAGCCTAATCCTGCTTTCTCCCCAAAGCCATTGATCCCATTTGCCCCAAGTGCTATATCTAGTTGCATCTTGGATACATTCAATGTTTTGGCATCAACTACTTCCTGTGGTAATGAATTCCACTGGCTCACCACTCTTTGGGTGAAGAAATGTCTCCCCATCTCCGTCCTAAATGGTCTACCCTGAATCCTCATACTGTGACCCCAGTTCTGGACATACCCACCATCAGGAACATCCTCCCTGCATCTACCCTGTCCAGTCCTGTTAGAATTTTTATAAGTCTCTATGAGATCCCCCCTCGTTCATCTGAACTCTAGTGAAAACAATCCCAACCTAGTTAATCCCTGCTCACACGTCAGACCCACCATCCCCGGAATCAGCCTTGTAAACCTTCGCTGCAGTCCCTCGACAGCAAGAGCATCCTTTCTCAGGAAAGGACACCAAAACTGTGCACGATATTCCAGATGTGGTCTCACCAAGGCTCTGTACAACCGTAACAACACATTCCTGCTCCTGTACTCGAAACCTCTCGCAATGAAGGCCAACATGCCATTTGCCTTCTTTATCGCCTGCTGCACCTGCATGCTTACCTTCAGCAACTGGTGCACAAGGACACCCAGGTCCCACTGCACACTCCCCTCTCCCAATTTACAGCCATTCAGGTAGTAATCTGCCTTCTTGTTTTTGCTTCCAAAGTGAACAACCTCACATTTATCCAAATTATACTGCATCTGCCATTGATCTGCCCATTCACCCAACCTGTCTAGATCATGCTGAA